TCAATAGTGATCCCTTAGTCTTAGGAGGCAGAAGTTAAATATAGGTGTCCTAATCAGGGATAAGCACTCTGTGGCCTCTTGTTCTCAGCACATTGGCCAGCTGTGAGTTTCTGTGTTAATTACCAACTGTTGCATAAGGAAACTTCTCTGGTGAGAGTTGAAAGATCCCTAGATTTGGGAAGTTTTCTTCTGTGATTTTATTAAAAATATTTTCCGTGTCTTTGATTTAGGTTTCTTCTCCTTCTTGTATACCTATGATTCATAGGTTTAGTCATTTTACAGTGTTCCAGAAGTCTTGCATATTCCATTCCTGGGTTGTTGATTGAGCAATCCATTTCCCCAAGCTCGACTTCAAAATCTGATGTTCTCTATTCCATTTCCTCTACTTCTGTTTTGCTCTTTCCTCTAAGATTTCTGTTTGAGTTCCTGAGCTTTTTATTTCAAGTTTTATTTAGACTGGCTTTTCTTCAGAGATTCTCTTTTGTTTTAGTTATTTCACTTGATTGTTTGTGTTTTCATGTTCTTTATTCAATTTTTTATTCATAGGCTCTTTAAGCTCCTTGACCATATTTATAATTGCTATTTTGAAATCATTGTCTTGTGCATCCACTAGGTTATTCTCAGGAAATATTAAGCTGGGGTTGTTAATTTTTGTAGTAGCCAGATTATCCTGGTTGTTGTTGTTTTTATTTTTTTGATGAGACCTAGGCACCTGGACTTGTGTGGTGGTGTTTCTTGGTATGGGTAGTGACCTTGGCTTTCTTGAATGTTTGTTTGTATCTCGTTTGTTGTTTCCCCAACTAGTTGGGTTATGGCTCAGCTAAGAGGTGCTTGGCATTCACTTTGGGAGCTACTTTATGTTGATGTGCAAATGGGGTAGAAGATGTAGTCTCAGTTCAGCTAGAGCTAGGTGCTACTTTTGAGTTTGATTCCAGACTCCTGCATCAACAGGGTGGGATGGGGGCTGCTAGGTGAAGAAGTTGGCCATAGGTTAGGGTAGGAGCTCAAAGGTCTCAGGCACATGGAGATCTCAAGGATGGAGCTCAGGTCCTGAAGTCTAGGTTGGGAAGGATCGCAGAGACCCAGGCTGGTATGAGAATGATTTACCCTGCAAAGATTGGAGTGGCACCACCATTCTTAACAACTTCCTTTATCAAAGGACAATAATTTAAACCCCACATGGGAACAGTGTACAGTATAAAACAGGATCTCACGGTATAGCCCAGGATGATCTTGCGTTCACTATGTAACCCAGGCTGACCTTGAACCTGCAATCCTCCTGGCCTTTGCCTCTCAAGGGCTGAGATTATGGGTATGTGCCACCATAGTTGTCCTAAAAATTTTAATGATTTTTTTAAAAAGAGTGATAGCCAGGCATGGTGGCGCACACCTTTAATCCCAGCACCTGGGAGGCAGAGGCAGGCGGATATCTGTGAGTTCAAGGCCAGCCTGGTCTACATAGTGAGTTCCAGGACAGCGGGGGCTACAGGGAGACCCTGTCTCAAAAAGACAAAAAAAAAAAAAAAAAAAAAAAAAAAAAAAAAAAAGAGTGATTGATTAGGCTTGTGAAGCATGAAGCTAAATAATTTAGTTTCCTTATCTAACTAGCACTAAATTAACTGCTATGATGAAAGAAAACGATATATAAAAATCACAAAAGAAATCATACTTCCAAATGTCAAATTTCATTCTCTATAATGTTGATAATGTACTTGAGTCAAGTTTACTGATCAGCTAAAGAACAGATCTAAACACAGACATAACCTAAGATACAAAGAACTCTATATGAAATACAACTGTAATAGCCACACATTTCAGAGTCAAACCACAACAGCACTTCAATTTCAATTGTTTAAAACCAAATTCACCAACAGATATCTCTCCACCAAATGTGTCTCTTCTGAAATCCTCATATGAAGTAAAATTAAAACAGCTTCTCAGTCAACCAAGCTGAGAATGCTTGTATTATTTTTTGACTAGCCCTCTTCTCTACTCCTCTCTACCTACAACTTGAGGCTGTTACCAAGTACCAGAGACTCTCCTTTAAAACAACACTCTCATCTGTCTGCTATTTCCCTTTCTCATTGTCCTAGCCACACAATATTGTAATAGCTCACCTTTTGGTATACATGCAGAATCTTTGTCCAATGGTCCACCCTTTATACTATCATTGAAGAAACGTAGACAATTCTCATCTTGACTCAAGGACTACTCATTAGCTTTACGAACATCCACGTTAATGAATACAAGCTTTAAATCTCTATAATCTCTGATCACAGGCAAACTTTTGGGCTAATCATCGCCAAGCATGCTACATAATGCACACTAATTAATCCTAAGCAACGTCCATCGCTCCAAGTTCTTGCAGTATGTATAATTGAAACAAAATAAACTTCAGAGTCAAGTGGATTCAGGAATTACCTTTAGGGGACTAAAGAGATGGCTCCATGGATAAGAGCACTGGATGCTCTTGCAAAGGACCTGGGTTCACTTCCCAGCACCCACACTGTGACTAACAACCATTAATAACTCTAGTTCCAGGGGATCTGACGCCCTGTACTTCTCCCACTCACATTTCTACCTGTTGAAATTCTAACTCATGTTTTCAGGCCCAGATCAAACAAAGGAAACCTTAAGGAGGATTTATTTCATTGGTTACAAAGTTTAAACTAGTCTATTCCACCTTTGCTCATACTTCTAATTTATTGGACTTTTCACCACAATATATGGTATACCCTCTCTTGTATTAGAGACTATTCAAATTTAGAGTCAGGAGCTCTCTTTTTCATATCAGTATCTCAAAGCACTTGTCTCTTTGCATACGCAAAGCATTGATGAATGCCTGTTCAGGTGGCCTGAGTTATAACTTGATTAATACAAACTTTAGGACATCATCTAGACATAAACAAAATAAGAACGTGTAAACCATCATAAGAATGACAAGTACAGTCTCAGTTCACGCAGTCCAAACACTTTACCTCCGTTCTGAAAAGAACTACTTTCTAAAAGGAAAAAAGAATGGCAAGGAAAATGGAAGCTTTCTTCATGACCAGGTCAGTTATATGGGAGAAATGACCTTGCCCACATTACACTAAAATGTTGCTTAAGAGCTTAAAATACATCGTGGAAAAAGAAGAAAAAAGAAACCTTTCCATGAATATTTTTTTAAGAATATGTCCAAATCAGTCCACACATACAAATGATGCCTCATTAGCAGGAGTGACTGGTTTTCAATGGCTTGACGACGCCCATTTCTGGGTTCTAGTCCTACTCTCTATCTTGGAACGGTCACTCAGAATGCCGTACTATTATCACAAATCAGTCCTGTCTCATATATCTGCCTATTATACTGCTGCTGAGGGCATACTTCCACCACAATATGCAATAAAGGGTCATGACTGCACGACCCTTTATTGGCTCTCTTAGAAGGGTCACAGAATGACTGCTTGGGATGTAACTTCTCTGTCCCCCAAAGCACTTGTCAAAGAAATCACTGGGACCCAGAACCACTCAGCTCTCAGGACCTGATAAGAGTTGAAATTACCTTCCCCCAAAGTGGCATATGCCCCATGTTACCATAGTTCCTTATGATCTGCACTGTAATATCATTCCATCCACCTTGATGTATACACATATGTCTAAATGTCAATTGCTGACATTGTCCCAAATTCTGTTCCTAGGCAATAACTTTATCAACATGTTCCCATTTATATCAGCTGACTACAATAAATAAGAAGTAAGGGCAAGAAAGGGTGCTGCAGTTTTCACATTTCCATCTCCATGTCAATATAACTAAGGTAGTCAATACACAGCAGTTTCTCTGCACCCTCTCCTATCGAGGCAGGGAATGCAGTAAAGTCAATGAACCCAAATTCCCAGACCTCAAACTACACCTTACCTACTTGGGGTGACATTAGGGCATGCTACTTGGCTTCTCTGTCTCCCCCCAATTTCTGACCCATAAAATAGAAATGAGGCAATAACCCCTTCATTGAGAAAAATTTCTAAATTTTAGAAGGTTACACAGTACATATTACATACTACATAAGCCATCCCAAGCAAAGCTTAAGTCAGTTGATTATAATCAAATGTTTTTTGCATACACACACACACACACACACACACACACACACACACCCCATAAAAATGACCACAAGAGTTTTCCAGATAGCTAGTCAGTTACTCATATGAACTCAGAGTAATGGTGACAGCATACACAAATCCTATACAAGCTCAAGCCAGACAAAAATCCCAGCATAGACATGGGGACTTGGGTAAGAAATCCCAACCCAGTCTAAGGAACTTTTGGCAACCAATGGTTGCTGGTAGTGGGGAGTGTCTCTTTAAAGGATGGGACTCTTGGTAGGTTAACAAGACTCCAGACGATGGATTCTCACTGAAGGACATTTGGGGACACAAGTTAAACTGTATGGCCTTATTATATATAATTGAGTACACTAAATTGGACAGGGGGACAATAAGGGGAGGTGCAGGTAAGGAAGGGGACCTAAATATCAAATTATATTGTATAGAAATTGCAAAAATTCAATTAAAAATGTTTTTTAAAAAGACACAAAAAATAATAAAAATATTTTCCCATTATCTGATAAACTATGGACAGTTAAGTGTTGCAAGGTACAATAATTGATAACATGCAAAATTATTATTTATAATCAAGCACTCTGCTAGGCTTATCTTTTTTTATTTGTAATCCCTATAAGGTAAATATCATTAAAAAGGAGGCTACAAGAGACCAAGTATCTAAGATTAAGCTGTAGCCTCTCGATTTAGACCCAGTCATTCAAGCTTACCCATATTCTTTATAGCAGCCTTACAATACACAGACCTTGTAGGAGGTGGCAAGTCTTATTGTGAAACCCAGAAGAATGGTGTACCAAGGTCAAGGAAACTTGTCATCCGGGTATTTTTCTATTCCTCTAAAAATGATATTTAAGTTGTTTCATAACTAATAACTCCAGCAAAACAAAGTCCAGACTTACCAAATGTTGCAAAATGATACTGGTTCTTTTGAATGAACTAAACCTGAAACAAATGGAATAGAATGAGCACAGTGCCACCAGCAATCATGTCTTGATTTACAAACACCATACTGTCATCTACTTAAGCTTCTTTAAAAGATTACTATAATAGTAACTTCAAAACAAAAAGAGATTTAAATCTCACTCACTGTTGACAGGTACAGCATGAAATGACACAGCCATGTTAATGGACTTTGGCAGTTTCTTCCGAAACTAAATACCGTCTTCCCAAGTGTCTCAGGAACTCATTCCTTGGGGACATAAACAAACCCTTCATATAGCGTAACCCCTCTTAAAGAGCACCAAAGACAAACCAAAGTACAAATCCACCAAAGTCCAACTTGTGAACCAATGAGTTTATAGTATTACTTATAGAACATGGATGAGGTGATACCTTACAGGAGTGTGGGTGACCCCAAAGCAGCTGCACCACCAGAATGTCTCACCTTAGCCTTCCACCATCTATACACTCTAGCACCTCCAAAGACCATTAGGTCATGTGCAGTCAGGGCAGAATTACATATGAAGGGCAGGGCAGGTACAGGATGGAGAGGCTAGAATCTCAGGTGAGGGTCTAATAACTCTCTCCAATTCCTCCTTCTTTGAGGGATTGTCCATGGTCAACAAGCCTGATTTGCAGTGTGGTATCTCTTGCAAGCAGTTAGAACTGCTCTGATGAAGACGATGGCTATGATGCTTGGCGGATAGAGGTTTACACCACCATATGATCTAGCAATCCCACTCTGAGTTTTACCTGATGAGTTGAAAGCATACATCCCCAAGAAAATCTGCACAAGTCTTACATTAGTTTTAATTATAAACTCCAAAACACAGGAGTAATCAAGATTTTAAGTGTTAAGTTAGGAAAACAGCTAACATACAGCTTAGCAAAAGTGACAGAAAACAGATTTCAAAAAATTGTATGATGGAGTAGCTGGGGAGGGGCATGAGAAACATGGAGGGCTGAAAATCATCTGAACACAGCAGGTATGGTGATGCACACTTGTAATCCCAGCACATGTAAGGCAGGAGGATCCTGAGTTCAAGGCCAGTCTGAGCAACACAGCAAAATTCTGTCTCACAAAACCTAACTAAAAGTCTATATCCAGATGATGGTTTCAGGACTACATAGGAAAGTCCACTAAGCTATAAACTTCAGAACAATACACTGAAGTACCTTATGTAAATTATCATTCAATAAGAAAGTAAAAAGGTAAAACCCAAGATTAAAGAAGGTCGTGGCTAGAAGGGACATGAGGAGGGCTTCCAAAAATGCAGGCAATGGCTTGTTTCTTGATACAGCTGCCACTAACTTAAACATATTTGGCTTGTGAAAATTAATCAAATTCTACCCTTATGCTTTGTTCCTTTTCGAAGAGTTCCCCAAAGACAGCAATGCTCTCTGCCCTTGAGAAACTCACAATGTAGTGACTGTACATTTTAAAATACTGTTGTTGGAATACCCTGGTTTGCACGTATCTTATTGAAGAAACTATTTTAAGACCTAGGAAGAAGAGTCAAAGAAGGAATCAGTAGCATAGCACTTGACAGGGGCTGCACCGTCAACAGATATGTATACTATCTAAATAATCATATTCCTGTTTAGACTCATTCATACTCAACTTTGTTTAAAATCTGACCTTGGGTTCAAGGGATATAGCTCGGTGGTACAGCACTTGCCTGGCATACATGAGGCACTTGGTTTGATCTTTAGCACTACAAAAATATAAAATTTTGTATTAACTTTTACACTTTAAAGCACATATTTGATAATTCAGTCTCCAAATAATTCTGAATTCGTTATCTCCTTCCCATTGCCTCCAAAACTGTTATCTAGAGGACAGAAGGAAGGCATATGCACATCTCATAGACACTGTTCATTGCTTTATTCACTTTGGCATCATGTTTATTTCAATCCCTTCATGTGATGTGAGCTTGGTTTCTCAAAGCGTGGTTCCTGGACAAGAACCAGCATATGCTGAGAACCTGGTTTGAAATGCAAATTATTTGCTCCCCCAGAGAGATCTACTAAACAAAAACTATGGAGTGGTACAGAGAAATCTGTTCAGTAAATCCACTGGATGATTATAATACACACTAAGGTGTAAAAACAATTATCGTAGGATAAAAACTTCATTTAGAAACATGTTGCAATTATCCAATAAAACAAAAACAGCCCTACAAAATTACACAACTCTACCTGAAACTGTTCAAACAAGACGATATGATGAAAGAAAGGCTAATACATTACACCAGAAGTTGGCAGGGTAAGTTATTAAAAGGGCAAAAAAAAAAAAAATTAGGTCAGCAATTCCGGAATGAAGTGATAAGGGAGAAGAACAGTGTATCTATGGAGTTAGCAAGTGAAAGTTTAGAAAAGAAGACTTGGTGTCAAGAGACAACAACAGGAGTGAACAGGTACTGAGAAGATTAGAAAGGAAGCTAGCTGTTTGACAGGATGACATATGAATCTATAGATATTGCTGTAACAGAAAGCATAATCATTCAACAACAAATGAGAAGACACTGGCGCCTAAAAGAAAGTTAGGACTAAAGACTTAAGGTGACACACAGGGACAAGCAGAGGCACTGGAACCTCTGCTATCTGTGAGGAATAAACAAGAAAGCCACTGCCTGCTCACAAATGTGTTTTGTTACTATTTTGGTCTTATTTGTTAGTATGGCATTTTTAAACTTTTTTTTTTTTAAATCAAGGGATTTCACCTAACTTTCCAGCTTTTCTAGAAAAAAACAAACAAACAAACTGGTAATTATGGGAAGAGTGGATCTATGTTAGCAGCATCAATGCCAGGACTAAGAAGCTGCCTCCCTTGCACAGCCTTCCCCCTGGCTCCCCAGTCCCCCACTGGTCCCCACCACTGTCAGGTAGCCAACATCACTAAATGCTTTCATTTGGCCTCTGTGCTCTGATTTGTGTCTCCTGGCACGAAAAAAAGATGTGACAGAGCGTCAAAGATTGTGCCTCTCTTCAACCATAAAGCAACCAAGTAGAAGTGCAAGAACCAGGAACCCGGCAGCAAAAAGCAAGAGCCAAACACTGCAGTTAGAGTACAAAGCGGACGTCAGTGTTACTGAAACTTAAACAACAAGCTCTTTAAAAAGAGCTGATGTCCTCTAGTTAAATCTGGCTTTCCCTTATCTGTACTTTTTCCCTAAAGACACTTACCAAGATTAGCAACTAAATACCTCTTTGTATAAGTATTTGTTCCACGTGTGCTCTCCTTTCAGACATCAAGGGTCTTACATAAGGAACAATAAGATCACTTACTACAGACTGCTTATAGGATAACTAGTCTGCCCACATCCGTGCCTCCCAGCAGCTAGCACACACTGAGTGTTTTATTCATAAAGTAAACTGAAGCCAAATCCTGGAGATCTAGGCTGGGAAATTTTTATTTTAGTAATTCCATGACCAGGAGGTACAGTACTTCTGAGAGCTTCTAAGTAGATAAAAAACAGATATTGAAGTAAAACTTAATATTTCTCTAGCAGTCATATACAGAGCTCAAATTGGGAAGAGGGTAAGTCCATTAAGTTTCTGCAAAATAAACAAGTCCTAAAATTGAGAGTGTTGGATAAATCTGAGTCAGCAGGAAGAGGTAAGGTCTGAGTGTAGAAGAATTTAGATAACTTTTCCTAGGAAAGGACTCTAAGCCCTACCACAGAGGTACCTGAATATCCGTGTTTACTGCTCACTACTCACAACAGCTAGGAAATGGAACCAAGTCTCGATGTCTATCAGCGGATGAATGATAACGAAAATGTGGCACACAAACACAACAGAATTTTATAGCCACAAAGAAAACTGAAATCACAACATTTATAGGAAACTAGATAGAACTTACAGTTATTATCTTAAAGTATGCCAGACTCAGAAAGGCAAATACAGGATGTTTTCTCGTGTGTGTGTGTGTGTGTAGATGTCATAAAACTAGAAAGGGAACCATGAGGGGGATCTTAAGGAAGGGCTACAGAAGGTTGAAAGAGGATGACAATAACAGAATAATGTGACATGAAAGCAGACAGAGGCTACTGAGGGAGAAGGAGACCACCAAGAGGGGGACAGGAGGGCAGGGGAGGGCAGTGGGGGAAAGAGGGTCAGCAAGAACAGTATGTATGAAAAATGCCATAATGAAACTCATTACTTTGTATGCTAATTTTTTAAAAATCTAGCAAAAAAGACAACTTTAGAAATCTAGAAAAATGATAGTATCAAGAAAACAGGTTGCCACAACAACTGGCACAGCAAACTACCTCTATTGGTGCAGTAGCTGTACTGTTATCCGGGGGTAATCAACAGCTATCTAAATGGACTTAAAGCCCTCTCAATGGGAGGGAACTCATGGGTGGCAATGTAAGTATAGCCAAATATACGTGGCTGGAGAGGTTATAGATCCTGCAGAAAACCCTATCTCTGGCATATCTCTACACAAATGAAACTTCTCACTGCTAAATATGGATCTTTATATTAACAGACAAATATACCATATACCACCCATCAAAGAAGCTTCTTTTTGCAACACATGGAGGCTATCATAGAGTTCCACAACTGGTCACAGAGAATATGTCTGAGAGATACCCAGCCCTAAGTGAAACATCTACAGTGTAATCTTGACACCTAAGGCTCATAGAACATAGTGGAACAGGGGGTAGAGAGCATACTATGGCATCCATCAATTCTCACCAGCAAAGCTTCCTCATACAAGTGTGATGCACACAGAAGGCCACAACTGGCCAAGTTTTAGAGAATCCGAGACTGCAGAGTGCATGCCCCTGGACAGGAATCCTACATTACACCTCAACCACCCATGGCTCAGGGATCATTGCTGAAGAGGCAGAAAGACTGTAAGAGCCAGGGTTGGTCCATGAACATAAGGAAACAGAAACTTTCAGGCCACTGGGAACTTGCTCATATGAACTTACAACAATGGTGACAGCATGCACAAGACCCATGTAGACGCAATCAGACAAAAACTCAGCAGAGAACAGAGGAAATGGGCAGCAGGCCCCAAGCCTAACTGAGAAACTACTGGCAATTGGTTACTGCTGGGTGAGGGAATGTAGATCTTCTTTAAGGCAGTGACTCTAGATAGTCTGACTAGACTGCAGTAGATGAACTTGCACCAAAGGATATCTGGGGACAAATGCTTGTCCTGATAGGACTTAACATATATGACATAATGCAGGAATTCGCTGTGTGGGGAGGTATAGGGAGCAGGTCTTAACTTAAGATCTATTATATGAAATGCACAAAAACTCAATAAAAATATTTTCTAATGAAAAAGATGTTTTAATCTAAAAAAAAAAAAACAAGTCACATCTCTGAGTACTTATATTTAAAGTGCAATTGAGGCATTCAGGACTAGAGCTCAGAGTAAATCAGGTTACATTATAAATTTGAGATATATTTTCAAAGAAGTGATATGAGGACAAAGAAAAATGCTCAATAGCTACATTGACACCTCAGTGGAAGTGGTTATAGGAACATACGGCAGTGCTGGCGAAGAAGAAAGAAGCCTAAGTTCAGTGGAGTTTCCCAACCATGCCTACCAAGGCACACAACCTTTTCTTCCCAGAAACACTCATATCCTAGAATATATTTGTGGATTACACTCCAGTAGACTTATAACCTTGGCCTTGGTTGTCTTTTGCTAGATTAATACCCATTGCAGGACTAGATCTAAAAAAGGCATCTTGTATCAAAATCTCCAAATTTGGTCCTGTCTTGATCTACTCAGTCCACATTTTGAAATGTAGGGTGAAATAAGGGCAAATAATTTTGTATGCACTGAAATTCATATTTGCCACGTTTCCATTAGATGGTTAAGAGGTACTGGGACTAATTTTAAGGTACTAAGAAAGCAAGAAATACAGCTCTTCAATGTATGAGTCACATTTGAGAATCAGGTCAGTGGATACAATGCTAGGCACTTTCCTCTGAAACAGTAACTACTCTTTAAGATTTATGTGTATGTGTGCTTATGTCAGCATGTGAGCGCAGGTGCCCACAGAGTCCAGAAGAGGATGTCGGATACCCTGAAGCTGGAGTTACATATGGTTGTGGGCCATGCTCGGAAGTGAACTTCAGTTCCCCTGCTAGAGTAGTACATGTTCTTAAATGCTGGGCCAACTCTCTAGCCCCAACAGAAACTAAGCCCAAAGAAACATTCAAACTTGCAGAGGAACAAAGATGCGTTCCCTGTTTGACTGGACAGTGCAGGCAGTAGGAGTCCAGATTGATGTAGCCTAAACTCCTAAAATGATTGCTACCTCTTCCGGGCTCAAGCTGCAGTGAGGAGCACTGTCAAAAAGTTAAAAGTTGCGCCCGGCGTGGTGGTGCACGCCTTTAGACGTAGCTCTGTGAATTCAAGGCCAGCCTGGTCTACATAGTGAGTTCCAGGGCAGCTGGGACTACAGTGAGACCCTGTCTCAAAAAGACCAAAAAAAAAAAAAGTTAAAAGTTGCACACGTTCTCCACCAAGCCACGTCAGATGTCCACAGCACTGTTCTGTGTTACCTGTGTTGCCGCTGCAGCAGCTGAAAAAGCTAACCCAGTGCCTAGACCAGGAGCATAGACAGGTGCACGGACAGGCAATGCACGTGTTAGCTACAGAAAAAATCCCGCGCAATACATCAGGTGGGTTCACTGCATGTTCACCGACGTACCCCGCTTCAAAAACGAAAAACAGGAGTCCAAGAGCGAGCCTGAGGGCAAGGCTGAATGAAAGCCAGGAGGGCGGAAAATGAAGGCGCTGCTGCAAAGATGTTGGAGGAAGCAGTCACAGGACAGAGCTGTGGACCGGCCTGGCCGAAAGGGCTGGACACTGTGCCCCCAAGGGCGACTCAAAGTACAAGGCCAGTCGCGGACACGCGCGATGTTTTCCCACCCGGCGGAAGCGGACGGCTGGCGGGCCCTTTAGCCGCTAGCTCGCTCGCTCACTCACCTCGTCAGGAGCCGCCACACATCCTGCTGCCCCATGGTCTAAAAACTCAGAGCTTAGAAGCCGCGGAGAGAGACGAACTCGGATTGCACCACGCGTCAGTCCCGCCCACCGTGGCCGGAAGAAGGACACTGACCACAAGTCCCCCAGCGGCCCAGAGCCGCCCACCGCGCGCACTTCCGCTGCGCGGCGCTGAGGGGCGGGGCCCAAAAAAGAGCTAAGGGGTCGGGGGAGGGGGGCGGGACCCGGGGGCGGGAGGAAGCGAGGACTGGAGGGGGCGGAGCCTTACTGGGGTGGGGCCTGGGCGGGGCCTAGGAGGGAGCGGCAGGGGAGGAGCCTAAGGGGAGATGGAGGACTGAAAGGAGGAGAAAATAAGGAGGGTTGGATGTGTAGGAAAATGAAATTGCCCTCTACAGGCTACCATGAGAAAAATCCAGTTTTAACTTGCTATTTTGGCCAGCAAGGATTGTTGTGAAACAGTTTTGTGGCATTTTAATACTTTTGAAATTAAGACTATCAATTTAAAATGGGCCTGGTGGTGTACACCTGTAATTCCAGCGTGAAACGGCTGAGGCTGGGAAATGGTCATAAGGTGAAGGCCACTCCCAGGCTACATTGTAGGACCCCCATCTCAGAAAAAGAAAAAATAGTAAACTTAATGTTCTTTGGAACCAAACAGATGAAATACATTCTCTAGCAGGGAAAAAGCAATGTAGTTTATTCCTCACGAGGTGTAGCTGAACTCCTTTCTGTAACAGCATTTCCTATTTTCTTGGGGAAAGTTAGCCCTCACTCGTCCTCAGTGACAAACAAAAATATCTGATTAAGAGACCGTAGATACATGTTAAGGCCTACAGAGCCAAGTTTGTGTCCCCAAATGCCCCTCGGTGTGAGTCCACCCACTTAGGCCCGGTCAACCTATCTAGCGGCACTCCCTTGAAGAAGACCAAGTCTCCCTCTCCCAGTAGTCATTGGTTGCCAACAGTTCTTCAGCTAAGGTTGGGACTTCTTATCCATTTCCTCATTTCTATGCTCAGCTTTTGTCTGGTCTGAGCTTGCATGGGTCTTATGCATGCTGTCACCATTGCTGTAAGTTCATATGGCGGGAGGGATTCTAAATATGATCAAAATGTATTTTATGAAATTCTCAAAAATTCCATTTTTAAAATTTTCAAAAAAAAGGACAGAAAAACAGAGAGACCATATATGTGCTCAGCAAATAAACTAAAAGTTGCCCTTGTCAGTGAAAGTATAATTACATCAGGAAGCAGCTTATTCTTAAATGAAACCAGTATTTAAGCCACTACCCTCTACTGTTGAGTTGCCTCTAGATCCACCCAGATGTCTAGCGGTAAGCATTCCATCACCAAAAACTATTGACATGTTTATTAGAAATAAGAGATTCAGTCAAGTATTTCAGAAAAGGAGAAATTAAAGGAGTATTTGTATATGACACTGGGGATGGAACCCATGAGCCATATCTCCAGCCTTAAAGAAGTTATTGCTAGTCCTTGGCATTTAAGGAGATACACTGTCAAATATTTTATCTCAAATTGTCTTTCTACCCAGAGAACAGAGGAAAATAACAGACACCGTTCAAGGAAGTCTTAGCCTACAATTAAAGTCCTTAACTAGGTACAAGCAATACCATTTGACTTTACTATCTGTGGTGGTTTGAATGAAAATGCCCCCCATAGTCTCTAAGTATTTGAATACTTGGTCAGTTGATGGTGCTGTTTGGGGAGGCTTAGGAAGTACAACCTTGCTGGAGGAAACACATCATTGGGGTAGGCTTTGAGAGCACATAGCCCTGTCCCACTTCCAGGATCTCCCTCTCTGCTTCCTGTGTATGCTTGAAGATGTGAGGGCTCAGCTTTCTTCTCGAGCTGCCTCCTGCCATTCCTCCCTGCCATGATGGACTCTTATCCCCCTGGAACCATAAGCCCAAATAAACTCTTCCTTCTATAGTTGCCTTGGTCATAGTGTTTTATCACAGCAACAGAATAAGTAACTAAGACACCATCTAATGCCATCATTCATTAGGGGCAAAAATAAATGAGTCAACCTATCCAGCATGCTTTACTGGAAAGAAGATGGGCTTTCTTGTTGCAGCCAAAACCAAATCTTCCTCGTCCCCATAACTTCATGTGCATGTGACCTGTGTCTTACAAGTCTCCACGCTTAGAAGTGCCCTGTTACGCTTAATGCTCTGCAATTAATCATTTAAATTTTTTTATTTTATTGATTTATTTAGTGTATTAATTACTTTTTCTGGTGCTGTGATAAAACTCCATGATCAAGGGAACTTATAAAAGAAGAGTTTATAACTTTATGGTGGTACACGCCTTTAATCCCAGCACTTGGGAGGCAGAGGCAGGTGGATCTCTCTGTGAGTTCGAGGCCAACCTGGTCTACAAAGCAAGTTCCAGGGCAGCTGGGGCTACAGGGAGACCGTCTCAAAAAGACCAATAAAAAGGAAGAGTTTATTTGAGCTTACAGTTCCAGTGGTATTGGAGTCTGTCACGGCAGGGAGGCAGGTGGTGGCTGGAATAGGAGAAGAAATCTAAGGACGATAACATCTTGAAGTAAGCACCGGAAGCAGAGTGGAAATCTGGCAAGGCTTAAGAACTTTCAAAGCCCACCCCCAGTGACATGCTTCCTCCAGCAAAGCCACACCTTCTAAGTCCTCCCAAAACAGCAACACCAACTGGGACCAAAAACTGTCCAAATACTTGGAGCCTATGGGCCACATTCTTATTCAAACCATTACTCTGTGTGTGTGTGTGTGTGTGTGTGTGTGTGTGTGTGTGTGTGTGTGTTTTAGTCCATGGTGGGATGTAGAGATCAGAGAACAACATGCAGGAGATGGTTCTCACCTTCTACCATGTGGGCCCCAGAGATTGAACTAAGGTCATTAGGCTTGGTGACAAGCACCTTTACTCACTAAGCCATTTCACTGGCCCCCTATTAATAATTTCTGAACAAGAGACCCTAAATTTTTCTCTTGTACTAGATGTGAAAATTATAATTCTTACTCTTAGCATTATTATCCATTTTAGAATATTCTCATTATTCCTCAAGGACACTATATACCATTTAGCTGTCACCCACAACCCTCTCACCTCCTCCCCAGTCCTAGGAAACTTCTAGTCTACTTTCAATCTAGTCTGTGCATATGCCTATCTGGGTGCACATTATATAATTATATAATATGTGGACTTTTGTGATTAACTTCTTTCATTTTGCATAGTAGTTTTCAGGACTCATTTAGAACACATTAGCACTTCACTTTTTTTCCTTTCTGAAAAATATTTTTAATGAGTATAGTGCTTTGATGGGATTGTGAGTGTGAGAGAGGGGAGGGAGAAAGGAAGGAACAGAGAGAAAGGGATTGATTCATGTAGCCCAAGTGGCCTAGAACTTGCTGTGTAGTTGAGGATAGCCTTGACCTCCTGATCTTTCTGTTCCACCTTCCAAGTGCTGAAATTGTAGGTGTACCCACCATGCAGTTATGTGGTACCAGAAACTGAGCCCAGGACCTCATGCTTACAAGGCAGGCACTCTACATCCCAAGCCCGGGATATATAACTTTTTTTAAACCTATTATTGATGAATATTTGGATTGTTATCCTTTTTTGGCCACTACGAATAGTGCTTCTATTAACTTTCATGGACTTTTTTATGTGGACTCTCTTTTTGTTTCTCTTGGGCATATGCCTGAGATTGGAATTGTTGGGTCATGTAAGAAAGTGGTTAGAGGCAGAACAGAGCAGACTCCATTGTTTACTTTAAATCGGTGAATTGTACAGTATCTGAAATATATATATATATATTCTAAATTGTTTGAAGAAAAAAAAAGAATTCTGCTTGCATTTTGCTCTTAATTGTAGTCTTTCGGGATGTGTAGTGTTATCTCACTGTGGTTTAAATTTCCATTTTCATGGTCTCTGATGTGTTGGATACTTTCTCATCAGCTTATTATCTCTTTTGTAAAATATCTATTTAATTTTATTGTCCAGTTTTAAATTGGGTCATCTTTTTATTATTCTTTTATACCATAACTATCTTGTTATTAGAAAATTAAGTAGCTTAGAGCAGTAACTTTTGTTATCGTTCACAGAGCCTAAGGCTCAGGAATCAGAGAGAGGGTTAACGAGATGATCCTGGCTCAAGGTCTCATGAAGCTGCAAAGTGCTGGGAAGGATTAAAGTTCCCCAGATGCTCACCTGGGATAGGAGGAACCACTTCCAAACTCCTGTGGTTGTGGCAGGCTTCAAGTCCTCACCATGTGAGCCTCTCCAGAGGGCTGCTCACATGTAGCTGCTGCCTTTAAGAGATCCTAGAGAGAAAACCACCAAGACAGAAGCTATAGTGTTTTTATAACCTAATCTTGGACCTGATTCACCAGTGCTTAGTCTATTGGTTGCACAAGGCAACCAATTTGGTCACACAAGGCAACCAAAACAGTATAGCAGGATATGAACACTAGGAGGCAGAGATCCTTCAGGTCTGTCAGGAAGCTGATTATTAAACTTGCTTTTTTCCTTTTCTTTTCCATTCTTTTCTTTTCTGGTTGCTAATCAGTCATTAAGGCATCTCAATTATTTCTTTTACAAATCCCTCAGATTTGCCTTACCTTCTCAGCAACCCACTGCTACTATTCCAATAACCACTGTAATCCATTCCAAATCTGTCATCTCCTCTTCAGTCATCATATTCTGCAGCTCAGTGTGCATTTTACACACAGCAAATCCTAAAATACCATTTTTTTAAATTATTCAGCTGCTGTATAATCTCACAATTATCTGGAGCTATGTTGCCTAATACTTGACACATGAAGCTATTGAGCCATTGAAATTCAACTAATCTAAGGGACTGAAATTCTTAAATATTGAATTCAAAAACTAAAACAGGGGCTGGAGAGATGGCTCAGTAGTTAAAAGCACTGATTGCTTTTGCAGAGGACTGCAGTTTGATTCCCAGCAACCACATAGCAGCTAACAACAGTCTGTAGCTCTGTTCCAGCGGATCCAATGCCGTCTCTGACCTCCGAGGGCATTGCTCAACAGGGGCACTTACATACATGCAGGCAGTACACTCATACACATAAAATAAAAATAATAAATAAAATAACAAAAAACTAAAGTAATATAAAAATT